GAGTCCCCTTGGGAAGAGAGGGCGGTCTAGAAATAAAGTTTTATTATTTAGTATTTTAAAGTCAATGCAGATATTAATCTATTTTATATGTCTTGGACATTACCATGAGGAAATATTATTGACTTCTAAGAAATAAATCTTCCAGATCTTGGTTTTTCTGCTGGAGGTATAACTTTGGCAAGTTTACAAAAACTGGTAGATTCTGTTATATACGTACATTCCACACACATCTATGGCACAAACAATTACTAGGTGAAACTGGGAGAAGTACCTGAAACAATAAAGTCAGTGTATCATTTTTCTGTTTCATTTAATACTGCTTCTAATTTAGTTCCCATAAAGACGCCAGCACTGATATCTGACTGCTCAACAGATTAATATCAGACAGTCTAAAATAAAGTAAACATTTTTATCTATAAAAAGCCTTTCTGAAAAGGAGAGGGACATAAATCCAGTTCTACTGCCAGGCTTTGACAATGTTTGTTTTATGCATACATCCCACACATGTCCATTAGGAGGCCTGAGCCTTGATTAACAACAGCGTCATGAATAAACATCCACTGCACATAACTCTCCAGCCAAGGTTTAACACTTTAGGCCTGTTTTCTAGATTCTCCTTTTCTGTTCTGCACCAAGTCTTCTACCAATGCTTCACGAACACTGAGATAGCAAACATTTTTAAAGGACAGGGACAGCTATAAAGCTTAATTGGTCACTAATAGTCAAACTAGATTCCCATGGCAAACAAATTAAATGGGAAAGAAAGGGCTAAGAAGTAAGAAACTAAAAAATGGGACAGCATGTTGTCCTTTGCCAGTCACAACAATCAGATTTAGATCATGAAATACATGTTTATCTTTATTGGAAAGCAGCATGGTAGCATTTGAATCTTTGCTTTCAATATGTCATGGTCAATCAATTTAACAAAATCTGGAATATAGACATTTTTCTGGTAAGTAATAATCACAATATTTCATTGTCTTTTTTAAAAGACCACTCCTAGACATAAAATAGTCCATCCCTCCCTGGAAGAATGTCTGCCACATTCCTTCATGGACATGTAAGGCATTTGTGGCCATTGTTTTTTTTTTTTTTTTTAAAAAAACCAAACTTTTAAAACTAAGGCATAAACAGAAGCTCTAGGGGGCACACAAGTAGCCTTGGTGGCTACACTTTTCCCAATATATGGCAGATATCCTTTTGTCTTTGATTCAGACTCAAGATGTGTCATTTCTATTTATTTAATTTACTGTCTTTCTCCTAGTACTGGACCGAAATCAAATGTAAATTGTACACTCTACAGATATGTACAATTTAATTTTCCTAAAAGCTTTGCTTAGTTGATTAAAAGAATGCTGAATTAACACTGAGGGCCGAGCTTATGGCCAAACTACACGCCATAACTTTCTTGCCCGCTAGCAGACTGAACATAACCTTCTTTCTGCTTATGTTCAGTCTACAGGCAGAGCACTGAAACCAGTGCTCTGCCTGTAGACTGAACATAAGCAGAAAGAAGGTTATGTTCAGTCTGCTAGCGGGCAAGAAAAAAAATTAAGCCAGGAATCTTCTCATGCTTACAGAAATGCCTGGGGATAAACAAAAATTCTGTGTTTAGAAGCATAAATGGTTGCATTCTGGAACAGAAATTGATTCTTTTTAAAACTGCCTGTACATTTGGATACTCAGTTGAACATTATAAATATAGTCAATGTATTGCTTTACGATTACATATAGCAAGTGTCATATAAACAGCATTAGCCAGACTGAAGCTGTATTTATGCCACAGGACTAAGCTGAATGTTTTCCAGCAAAGGTTTGTACATCACCATCCACATATGGTACTCTGGCCACAAAACAGCACTTAGGGCACATTACAAGGACACATAATTAGGATTTCTGGTCCCTTTTATTTCCTACAGCCCTCATTTGATGCCCACTCCATGACGGCAGCTGTAAAATGGGGTTTCCCCCTTCTAAAGTTAGAAAAAAAATCTAGATTCTTATAATTTTCTAGTCTACTTTTAAAAAAACAGTAAATCTTTGTATTCAAGGTCCTTTTCAGATTCAAAATTAGATTTAAAGGGAGTTAAAGTAAGCCTTGGTATGTGGTGGCATTTGTTTCCAGGACACAGCTCTCTAACGTCCCTCTCCCCCCCCCACCCCCAATGTATGCCAAAATCCACAGATTTCACATCTATTATATATAATGATATAATAATATGATATTCCTTATATAAAATGGCAAGATTAATGTTTGCTTTTTGCATTAAAAGAAAAGTATTTTCAGCCATGGATGATGGACTTTTTAGATACAGAATCCATGGATACGGAGGACTGATTTCATTTAAATGCCTTCAGATAGTCCAGGATTACGGCCTTCTCCTCTTCATGTCATTTCTAGTGCAAGAACGTCTTTACATTTCATTGGAGGCCTGCACCCTTTCAACATTCGTAATCTTAAGGGATTGAAAAGCAACATATGAATATATAATATAAATTATTTTAAGAATATGAAAATCGAGACAAAAATATATTCAGAGTAGTCAGTAGCCACCACTCCAGATTATGTTTATGTGACAGTCATTAGGCTGGGATACTATTTATATTGCCCTAATCAGACAAGGACAAAGACAGCTGGTCTGTAACCAAGGACATCCAGAAAGTTATGTCTGGCATCAACAGACCAGGGGAATCTTTTATTTGTTCTTAAAACATGGGAAACATGTCTAATCTACAGTTCCTGACACATTTACTGACAACAGCCCTTTTTGCATTCTAGGTGCATGAAAGAGGCCACAAGAATTCTGCGAAGCTGCTTGTTTAGCCTTATCTTCAAGGTCACATGACTTCCCTTGTGATAAAACGGAGAATTTTTTAAAATCCTTGAACAATTTAGAACACTGTACAAGGCTTCATGTATACCTTAGAGTTCTAATCCATGAAAGGAGCGTCTCCTGCAGAAGTCATTCCTAAATATGAGAATAACAAGGAGGAAATGGGCAACTTGGGGGCAGTACTGAACATGTAGGGGTTATACAATTTTCAGTAATCCCCACATATCTGTACAAGATACAAACTCTGTATGCATATCCACATGTACCAGGGATGGTGTGCGAGGAAGGGGTGATCTTTTTGCAATTCTTGCTTGTAACACACATGCAAAAAGGAAGTGACCACTATGGTTTCCATTCTCATCCTTCCAAAGGGGACTTTACTATTCTTGGAAAATATTCAGTAATTCTTAATAAAGAATGATTGACCATAGGAACAGAGGCATAAGACCTTGAAATCTGCTATAAATCATCCTATCTGCATGAGCTTAAATTATAAAATTATACAAATAATGTTTTGGAACACTGCAATTTTGAGTAGTGTGTATTTAAGAACACTGAAGGGTCAAAACAATTCATCATGCACAATTAATGGTAAACGTGGGGCTTTAATGCCATATGAGAAATTACACTGAATGAGAGTAGAATTTCAACTAAATATATCAAAAGAATAAAAAATAAAGATTACACTTGCTGGAAAGATATGCTCTTGCATTTTTTTATTTCTGTATCTTACTCCTGAGAGGGTTTTTTTTTTCAAGGAAGTATGGGAAAACTGTTGGCAGACAGAGATGACAAAATCCCATTCATAAATAGCTACAAAAAGATAAACATTCCTTAAAATGTAACACAGACATTTCCATTAAATTACAGGAAAAATAAGATTAGCCTCATTACCTAAAAATCTATGCCTGGAAATGCTACAAAAAGGAATGAGTCAAATCTAGTTGTATCTGTTTGCTGACAGAATGGTATCCTTACAGTATCCCAACACCGACGGCCACTCTGGGGCCAGAATAAAGAAGGGGAGCCAGGAGGACGTTGCCATCTTGTCCCCTGTGACATCAGCGCCCCTCCCCCAACACCAACGGCCACTCTGGGGCCAGAATTGTTTTTATACTATGTCTTGAATGTTGTTGTTCCTATATTGTACACCGCTGTGAGTCGCCCCTGGGCTGAGAACAGCGGTATATAAGCAAAGTAAATAAATAAATAAATAAATAAATAAATAAATATCCTCTTGCCTTGCACCCCCTAAAGATGTTTTGTTCTCTTGGAGGACCCATCAAGGAAGAGCCTGGCATGCACAGAGAGTTGCCACAGAGAGGAAAGGATTGGGATATATTTGCACAAGTCAAAATCTATTTGCACAGCCTGGCATGTAGCTTTAAAACCCACCCTCCAAATTAATAATAATGTAACTCCTAAAAAGCTAAAATTGACACCAGAAGATTTTTGTATTCTGCATGAGGAACTTTTGTCTCTCAATCAACTATGAAATGTTATTACTGATTGTGATTGCGGGGTTAGAGAAGATAGCTTGAACATCAGTCAAAAGGCAAGCTCTACACTAGAAGATAATCCAAGGGAACGAATGTGGTTGACTGAAAAATGGACAATAAATCAATAGATGAGAACAATCAAAGCTTCAAATGTCTATACACCAACACAGAATTTGAGAAACAAATGAAATAAGCTTGTTTGTATTTTAGGAGGAAAGATACTTTTGAAAGATCTGCAGGGTCGATGGACTTCTCATGTTTTGAGAAATCTTGGAGAACAAGTGGGTTGTCAAGTGACTAGAGAAACGGAAACATTCCTCGAGGAAGAGGAGGAGGAGGAGGAGGAGGAGGAGGAGGAGGAGGAAGTGATGGTGGAGAGGGATCCAGGACCCTACAAACCAGTCAGTCTAATCTCAATACCACAGATTATACCAGAGTCTGTCTGAAACTATCTTGATGAGAAGGCGAAGCCAACACAATAATCAAAACAAGGAGTGGGAAACCCATGAAAGTGAAAGACTGGCTGTTAAGTCTTTTGCTTCTCCTTCCCACAGTACTTCCATTCACCCCTACTATTGCAATATAAAAGTTCCTTCTACAAACAAAATGGGTCAACTGGATGTAAAACACAACCTGTAAGAGTCATACACCTCATTGGGTTCCTCACCTGTCTTGTCTGTGAATTCAGATACTGTAAGATGAGTCTTGTATTCACACTATGACTCCAAGTATTTCCCAGTGCTGCAGTTACATAACCAGATTCTCCAGCTCCATTTCTAGAAGGTCCTGGAATAATAATGATGAAGATTATGATGATGTTAATAATAATAATAATAATGATCAATATTCTGATAACTAAGGTATAATTAGACTGTTGAGTCCACAAGCTAATGTGATAGTATTAAACAAAACAAAATGAAAAATACAACAGATCAGTATTTGGTTTCAAGTGCTTTAAATCTGTCAAAATAGCAGAACTGTTAAAAACTGAGTTATTGACAAGTGAGGGAGGCCTATAGTGGCATGATGAACCTAGCTATAGCAAAGCAGCAAGGAACATGAAAGGCACTGCCGACTACTTCAGCCAGAGAAGTTAGCCATAGCAAAGCACCTAATGAACCAACCTGGACACAGCATATTATTTGAGAACACAGAAATGCTGGACCAGACTACACAGAGAAGCCATTGAAATCCACAAGCATGTGGACAATTTCAACAGAAAGGAGGAAACCATGAAAATGAACAAAATCTGTCTACCAGTATTTTAAAAACTCTAAAATTACAACAGCAAAACAACAGAGAAGAAACAATCTGGGACATCTAATCACCTCTCAACAAAAGATTGCCCCAGGCACTGCCAGGCTATCAAATGCTAATCAAGGTTGTCAGTTGAAACACTCACACCTAGCTCCAGCAGACAAGAGTCCTTTATCCCACCCTGGTCATTCCACAGATATGTAAACCCTTTTTCCTTGTTCCAACAAACCTCACTACCTCTGAGGATGCTTGCCATAGATGCAGGAGAAACATCAGGAGAGAATGTCTCTAGAACATGGCCATATAGCCCAAAAAAACCTACAACAACCCAATGATTCCAGCCATGAAAGCCTTCGACAATACATTATCCAGATATTGTTGAACTCACTCTTGGTGGCACTAGCTAGCCTAACAAAAGGTGAGGAATGCAGGGAGCTGTAGTAGAAAAAACAATTTGGAGGCATGCACAAATCCCACCTCTGTACTATATCATCAAATGGCTAAGCATAGCAAAAAACAAAAAACAAAAAAACCCAAAACAAACAAACATTCGACGTTTTTCTCCGACTCATCAGAAATTCAAAGGATTTTATTCAAGCTGATATCAAATTTTCCAGCTTTCTTATCTCTGAACCATCTATCACCACTCCAGAATATTGAATTTTTTAAACTGCTAAATGGAGATGGAAACAGGTAAGGAGATGGTTAATTCAAGTAGATGAAATATATCATTACTCTCTAACTTCAGGGCACATTCCTCCACAACTCAGGAATTCCCATTAATGTCAACAGGTACTCTGAATGAAGATGGGAGGCATGGGCAGGGAAGGGCACAGTGATTACAAAGAAAACAGGGAAATATATTACTTTGCTCTTACTTCTAAGGGGAGAAGGCTTGTGGTACCAAGCGATAGAAGCACCTGCTTTGACTATACCTTGCAGGGCTATTTGTGTGATCCACTTTCAGATAACTCGCCCACACAAAGTTAATGATATGCATGCTGCAGTACAAGACAGTTTTTAAGGGCAGAACAGCAATCTCTTTTATAGAATAGAAAAATCCCTTGTGAGAAAATACTGTTTAAAAGAGAAATACTATAAACCTTTTGCAGCCCTTTCTTTACATGTTTGAAAATCAAGGCAAGCATACCAGAAAGAAAGGAATGTGAGCCATGAAGGAAACCGACCCCCTCCCTTCCCAAGAGAGTTCATTGGCAGTTGACTGCCAAAGACTTTATCCCTTTCTCCAAGCACTGAACTCCAGAAGACAACAGATGTCTCAGGGGCAAGAAATCGGAAATGGCAGGAAAAGAGATAGCAGCTCACACATGCTGTTTAAAATTATTCTGTTATTTCATCTGCTAAATGAATTTTAATAAGAACATGAAAGAAGATAAATGGAAATTAGTGTATTTAAACAATATGCCCTACCCTGTTTTTGACTTCACTGATAATACGTGGAGATAAATGTTATCTTATCCTAAAACGAGCTGCAAAAGGTATCAGTTTTTCCAATATTTTTTTATTTAAAAAAATGGTTTAGATAATGTCTCAAGACTTATTTCCTTCTGAAATGTTTCTCTTTGTAAATGATGAAATATAAAAGGTCCTGGACACAGCATATTATTTGAGAAAACAGAAATGCTGGACCACTCTAACAACCACCATGTCAGACTACACAGAGAAGCCACTGAAATCCATAAGCATGTGGACAATTTCGACATGCTTACAGACCATTTAAAATGCACATTTGAGGAAAACAGATAATTGAATATATGTTTACTGAAGAAGTAAGTCTAACTAAGGCTAAATCCAGTTTTCTGGTCCCAAATAAACAAAACCAGGAAATCAATGGGATTAGCATAAATACTGATTTGCCATTTATCAGTTGATTCCCTGGAATGCCTCTAGTTGGGATGAGCAAATTAATTTAGGCCTAACTTCAGACAAATAAGGGAAGATGGAGCACAACATTGTTAAAGAAAACAAAACAGTAGGCATGGAATAACTTTTGTGACACATGCCCATTTTGAAAAAGACAACAAATGTTTTTCATATTATTAGCTTTGAAACAGTCATTATTTGGATAAGAAGAAGTAAACACTTCTCCACTCACTCATAAAGGGAACAGCTACTCTCATCTTTTACAAAATAGGTCAACTCCCTAGATTAGTCTCAGAGGAGTTATGTCTTCCTTCGCCTTCTTCCATCTTCTGATGTCCATACTTATTTATTTTATGTATTTATTTACATAGGGTGGGAAAACAAACATATATATTGTATAAAATGTTTTTAAAATCAGTATGCTAAGCTTGAAGCTGATAAAATTAATGATTGGTCTTGAAAATATTTGTGCACAAGTCACATGAGGGTTTCCATTATCCAAGTTTTTTAAATAAAGAATGCAAAGATTTAGGAAACCGAGGTTGAATTTTTGCTAGCGTTAACAAGCATTTCCAGATAGTGCATATTGAAAATGTTTTTAAAACGTACGACAATTTGTTCCAAAGTACGTAAGCTTGTCTGTTTAAAAACTTCTTGATCAATTAAATTTAACTGGAAAACATTTTTAATATAGCTAATTTGAATATGAATACATATTTTAAAAAACATATGAATAGCAAGCATCTTATTGGAAGAATCAGTGAGTTTTACCTCCCACACAAGGGAATGCCTTTTATAAAATGGTGGTTGATGCCAAAAGTACACAAAAGTCTAAAAACAAAGTAACCATGTTCCTTGCTTCCCCTAACTGTTATTTTTGCTTCAATAGAAATTCACACAGATATAATCATGACATTTACTAACATGTTTAAATTCATGGGACAGCTCTAATTAAAATAAAGATGGGGATAAACATCCCTTCCCTCCAACCAAAACATGTACCTACATGAATGTGATATCCTTCACATACTTTTACTTCGCTCTCTTCCCCTCTCAATTCCAAGTTCTTTTCCCAAATGTCAATATTTTGTTTGATCAGGAAGTGAGCCTCACACACTTGATGGCCAAAAGGATGACCTCACTCCTTGGGCAGGCTGGCCAAGGTGCATGCTGTACCCATTACAAGGCATAGGCTCCACTGCCAATCCATGTGTAGCTAATAAACAAAGGGCTGGAATCCATTCAAGTACACTTGTCAGCACTCTACATAAATTATAAAAGACATATGTACCCAGCCTGCACTGCATTCCCTTGACCACCCCTCACCCCAAAAAGACAGTGGGAGGCACTGGATGCAAAATATAAAGGTGCACATAATGTTCTGATAAACTTAAGTTGAAAAGTTATTCTGTTTTTTCATCACTTGCAACCAAGCAATCCATTATCTTTCACAAGTGTACTGAAAGGCAGAATTCCGCAAGTACAAAATATCAATAAAAGAGCTTGTTAATAAAACCTTCATATGTGATCTAGAGGGGTGCACTATTAAGACAGGCAGTCATTTTTCCTACTTGCTGATGATAAAACACTCAAGCAGAGAGGACCGCAGTCACACCCTGGAACATCAGGATAACATCCATTTGTGCTTTCCTAAGTATTTTCATATGCCACCCCCAGAGAAAGCAGCAGTTGCTAGTTAACAAGTTGACAGAAACCGCCCAGGACAACACAAACATTCTTTCTAGACTTTATAAATCATTTTGAGAGAACTGCTGAGAAGAACAGAAATTTAAATAAAAGAATGATATTATTTTCATTATTTATACTAAATGAAGCCTGTTAACAAATTAAAACTGGAGTGGAAATTAGATGCCCCTTTGTCTTTTGGATGGTAGCTAAAAGGCATGGAAGTAAGCCTCTGTGAGATGGTCTGGTACTGCCGTCAACATGTTTTGCATTAGGAAATCTTATCCCCCAAAGTCAGGGCACTCATAACAATTCCATTTTGTCTCGAAACTCTTTAGTGAAAGAGTCTCTAAACTATTATTTACATTACAATCTACTAAAGCAAGACTGAAATGATTCATCTGCTCTGAATCCTGTCCAGATGATCCACCAAACCTGAATAAATTGATCAGGTTTCACAGACTCCGCAGAAGTGGGAAGGCAAGGGTTGATTTATAGCAGAAGAGAGGTGTGACATTAGGTAGAACTGAAAAACACAAACCTACAAAATAGTCTTATCTGATTCAGTAATAGCAATTCAATTTCCAGTATGCTAAGTCACCTTTCCTTTCTGAATGATTGTTATCCAATCGAATTTTGCAGAAATCATAGTGAATGAGTACAATAATGTATATGAAGAAGAACATTTTCTTCTACACAGTGGTTCGCTGTAGTGTTGATTTAATTTGTTATTTTCCTTCCTGTTCCATTAGGCTGAAATACCATCTTTTCAAAACTGTCTCTTGCAAAACTCTGTATTTTTTTTTTTGCCTTGTGTCATTTGATTTGCATTAACTGGAATTTTACGGCAATTATGCAGTGTTATTTATAAAAATCTGCTTCTCAACGTAATTTCTAGACTTTTCAATTGTTTGTTGTGTGACATTGTCATTTTTGCTACAGCTGGAAAAATGGTTTAC